CAGGGTGTAAATAGGGGCATGGTCAGGTGACAGGCTCACCTGGGAGGAGCTTGAGAATTCTCTCAAGTTCCTGGTGCAGAGCTAGCAGGTGTGGTAACCTATTGTCCAAGTTCCTGCCCCTGCCTCTAGGAATTCAGATGAGCCTATTACTGGGGGTGGAGTTTTAACACCAAGATGCCAACAATCTCAAAGTGCAAAATTTTATGATTCAAGAGCTCAACCAGTTCAAAAGTTTTGGTATATATTGGAAACTGTTTTGCTGATAACCAATGCTCAGTAAGATTCTCTGCTCAGGGATTTGCCCTAGAACAAAAAATTCCTGGTCCACAAAACTATATAACGTGTAAAAAATAGAAGCAACAATTTTCCCTCAAACAACAATTTCATTTCTATGCATTTTATTTGTTTTTAGTTTAATTTTGTAAAGGTGATGTACAGAATGGTTACAGTTACATAAGTAAAGAGTACATTTCTTTTTGAACAATGTCACCCCTTCCCTTACCCAGCTTTTATCTCCCTGTAAGTAGCAGTTCTCCAGGTACCAACTGAAGCCATAATAGTTCTGATGTACTGAAATCAGCAGGAATGTTCTAAAAACAAAAGACCACTGACAAATTGGATGCCACCGAACAAATCAACAAAACCTAAGCGTTACCAAAATGTAGTCAACAAAACAGAGGAAAGACATGGCAATAAGATGTGTATAATGAGTCCTGGGGTACCCTTTGAAGTCAATCCCAAGTCTTTCAAGAAGAGAAAGGGATCTTAGTTTGCTAGGTGCTGGACACTGCTTCCTCTTACTCCTCACCCTCTTTCCTGTCTAGTTCAGAAGTATCGGATGACTCATGGAGCAAGACATATTCTCTGCTACTGAACCCAAACTTAAATACGTCCTTCTCTGAGTTTGTAGTATCTCTGTGACTCAGTGCGCTGATTGTTCAAGAAGGTTCCATTTACTGAGCCAAAGTCAATGATGTAGGGCCTCACCCTCTGGCCAACTGTACATCTGCTTGGGTGTACTCCACAAGCTGATACTGGAAGATGGCATGCTGCTTGAGCACGAGGGATGAGCGATGGGAATGTTCGCGATGCCCCAGTGTTGACCCAAAAGATTGGCGCTCGGTCAATGGATGTACAGGACTGGAAGTACCTCGTCATTTTTTCCCCACATTTGTAAAGATTTTAATGAACAAAGTTGAATGTAAACTCTTACATGCAAAATAGATTTAGTGTAACTGGAAACCTTACAGCCAAGTTCTAAGTCTTATTCCAGACTGCGGTGGGGGTGGAATAAGAGGATGGTAATGAATACAAAACTTAATTTCAGCTCTCTCTATATAAAAAATGTTGAGGAAATAGAGCTTTAAATTGAATAGTATCCTTTGAAATGAATAGCTCGGGAAAGCTCTTGCAGTTCAGATGTTTCTCTTCAACCAGACTTGAGACAAAAAATGAAGACTTCAGGCTATAGCTACTTTGAATCCAGTTTCAGTGAGCCAGGTCACCTCGGTTCTAGGAAAGAATATCTCTTAAATGACGGTGACACTTCTGAAGGTGCATGTGTGGACAGCCAGCGTTCTGGACCATGTTTCCATGACACTGTACTAATGCTATAGTATCTGACTTTCTCTAAAAGATGACCAGACCCTGCACACAGTATTCATTTCTTCTGGCATTTTCAAACCTTAAAAATACATACACACAGGACCCCTAACAAAGTTGGCAGTTACTACTCGAGCATTAGAGAAGTGTCCTTCTGATATCCCTTTCAATCTTCAGCAAGGAGTGGCAGTTTGATTAACACTTGCATATATAAATAGTTCAAACTGTAAGAGCGATGGAAAATGTCCACTGCTCCATGTTTGCAAATGGATAAGAATATAACTCATCACACACAGGAAAAAACAGATCATAGAATAAACCTTGCTTTTCCCATATTCATAGGACAATGCCTCTTAAAAACAAATAAAATATCAATTAGTGTTTTTTTTTTTTGGTGGGGCTTGAACTCTGAGTCTGAGTCCTATCCCTCAGCATTTCAACTCAAGGTTAGAGCTCTATCATTTGAGCCACAGCGCCACTTCCTAGCATTTGTTCTTGTGAACAATCCAAAGGTCTGAGCAGCAACAGCCTTGCCGAAAGGGTTGCAAGCAGCTCCTTCACCCTGTCAGGACTTGGGGGCAGGAGGGCCTTCATGCACTGACAGCTCAGTACCTATTCGAACAGAAATGAGGTGGGACACTTTAACCCATGATGTATGAGGCATATGGAAAAGTCCATGGAAGAGCCACCAGCAGTAAGAGGACCAGGCAGGGCACTGTCACAGCAACTGCTGATGGAGGATCTCCATACCATCTTCCAGAAGAGAGGCATCTGGTGCTGTATAAATGTGATCGGTTTGTCCCTAGAAATATAATCTGCATATTTACAAGCAAACATTCCACAATCATTCCCATTCAACTGTTGTGGAATCTCATGTGACTGCATGCTGTAGTAAGTCCACTCCAAAAGATTTAGATCAATATTTCTTTTTGTTTTTCATCCTGTAGATACTGAGGAGAATTTTACAGATCTTGCTGTCCTTTTGTCCCAAAGACTCCACATACTTCAGACACTTTTTCGTAAGTCCATCACCTCCAGGCTCCAATGTACCTTCTGATGAATAGGCACCAGAATGAGTTCTTGTTCAAAGAGATTTACCCCTTTGGTCCATCTTTCCACTGCTTGGTAACCCTCAGACTTTAATTTGGGATAGAAGAAAGTACTGAATACATGAAGTGCCGGATAGCCTTGCTTTTTACTTCTTTCCACTAGAAGATTCATTTAAAAATTAATGACCTCATCATTGAGCCAGTGAGCGTTCTTCAAGGTTTGGATATCTCCCCGAGTAACTCTCAATTTGAAAGTACCACTTAGAATCTCATCCTGTGGGCCATGGCCTAGGGCACTTTTGATTTCCTTTTCCATGTCCTCAGTAAGTTCAAGGAGATCATCTGTTCTGTCCTTTTCTTTGCCTGAGAAATTTTTTTCCTTTGCCTCAACTACTGACATTTTCCTCCGAAGCAAGCAACTGCTTCCACTCCCCAGGCAAAGTCTGGCTGACACTTCTTCTGATAGGCCAGGTTCCAGCTGATATCCTCTTTTACCATCAATTTCAGGTCTTAATACAGGTATCTTTTCAATGTCAGAGATTTTTCCCTTTGAACATTTCTCTTCACTTTTCACTGGACAGAAAAGTCCCCTTGTTTCAACAATTCTATACTGTTTTGGAACCAACTGAGTTCTGACATGACTCTTGTCTTCCACCAGGCCTTTGGTCTTTGTTTCCATCTGACTTTTTGGAGAACTGGAACCATAGGAAGTTACAGGAGGGACAGAACTCCCATGCCTACTTTCTTTAACTTGTGCTAATAACTTTTGGTTTTTTTCTCTCTCCTTCTTGAACACCCTCCTCTACAGTACAGTGGAGATACCTCAGACTTTTAGAACCCTCTTCTGAAATCTCTGATATACCCTGTTCTTGAGATTCCCAAGTTAAGCAACTCTCTGAATTGTTTCTGCTGTGGCCACAGCCTATTGGTCTTCTATTAAAGCCTTCTGATTTCAAAGTAAAACCCAAGGAAGGCAGGACTCGAACTCTACATGGCTGATCTCTGGTAACTGTCACTCTGATCTTTGGAGAGTCACTTACTCTGTTAGAATTGTTACCCAGATTGAGCATGTTTTGGGATCCAGAAATGGTCAGTTCACAAGATGAAGAGTTTGAAAACGCCTCTCCTGAAGGGAGGACATTTCGTGTTCTATTATAAGCAGAAGTCACCGTGGGCTTCGTGGTCAGCTGGAATGGGAATCTAAAAAAGCTGGCAGCATCGTAGACACTGTTACTCACTTGGTGAATAAAGCAATCTAATCTTGGTCTTTTAGCAGGAATTTCACCGGTGTCCCCTGGAGAACGCAGAGTGCTGTGTGAGCGCAGCCTCTTGCACACCAGAGTTCGGCCCACCCACTGGTTGCCTAGAATCCTAACCAGCCAACGCGCTCCTAGACGCAAACCCCAGCGCGGTCTTCGCCACTGCCACCTTCTCTTCAGCCTACGGCACCCTGCCTTCCGGCCTGGCCAGACTCCCGCTCTGGCTGCGGAGCCTGCACGCGCGGGGCCGGCCCGGGCCCCAGGGCCCT